CACTAGGTGTACCACTGCTTGTTGGATGTAAAAGAAATAAAAACAGAAATTAAATTAAATTCTTGGTATTTTGGTTCTTCAGGAACATATGGAGCTGTTACTTGATGCTATGAAAACGCAGGATAAACGACTGGCAGATGAATGGAGCAAAGGAGAGCATTGGTCAACGCTACAGCACTTTATGGCCGCACAAGGTACAGTACAGATCCAAGATTTATCATCTCACTAAACTTCTATAGCGCATATGACAAGACCTCTATGGGCTTCACATTATCATTACCCCAGTTATCGGATTACACACATGGAACACAAACTCATCTCCCCGGGGGAGTATTCCATAACGTTGCAGCAGTTAATTAGTGCATTTGGCACTTTAGCCCTACCAGGTACCCACTTATACTCCTGGGTGGAAGAAGCAATGCAGATAAAGTGGCTTTGCTCAAGGACACAAGCGAAATGCACAGGGAGGGATTGAAACCCAGACCATGAGGTTGGGAAACTAAACCATTCCATTTCATTTACCTAGCAACATTTAAATTGTTTTTACTTAATATGGTCAATTATTTAAAAGTATTTGAACTTTTCTTTTTCTTGCAGCTCCAAGTCCCACATTCACCTCTGCCCCAGTTGACGTCTCGGACGAATCGGCATCATCAAGTGCCACCTGGTCGTGTCAAGCGTGTACATTCATCAATTCCGGTAATCGCATGGCCTGCGAGTTATGCGAGGGTCCCAGACAACCCTAGAAAAACAGCAGATAACAGTAGACAGCTCTTATTTTATTATCACAACTCTTGCAATGTGTACTCTCGTGAAAATTATGAAATAATGGATGAACTCTTACTGTAATATTATTGTTATTATTAATTATTAATATTATATTATTTATTTTTTTATTACTTTCTATTAATTTTTCTATTATTCATTATTATCATTATTATTATTATTATCATTATTATTATTATTATTATTATTATTATTATTATTATTATTCTGCAATCTATGTTAAGTAAAGTGCTGATCCCCTTGCACTCAAAATGTATAATGATAGTTTATAGCTTGTTACATATTTAAAGTTAATATCCCGATATAAAAAATGTTATATTTATATACAGTAATGTAGGAATGCCTCTAAATCGGAGTGCACACTGCTTGTTACTACTTCTATAGTGGTTTTCCGTGTGGTTGCAAAATGCCACGGGTGACACTATTCTATGGTAATCACAATGCAAAGATAATTGGCTTAGACTGCCACCGACGATCAGTAACAAGCACAGTTACAGAGCATGGACATATTTCTTAGATCTGATCTAACCGCAAAGAAATTCTAAGGAAATCAGAAGCTAACAAAAAACTCTTTATTTATAAATTTTTTTTGCATTAAAAACAAATTTGGTGAGTTGATGAAAATAAAAAAATGCCATGCCTTACTGACAGGAATAACCTGGTTCGAATCGCAATATAGTGTGCTATTGGCATCATTTAAACTTTATTTTGATAGGTGTGTTGCGTCGGCGAAACTCTAAAGGAATGGTGTTTTTCCCAACCAGTTGTATTATCGAACTGAGTATTTGCAAATACTTGCGGAAAAAGGTTTTTGCCAAACATCATTCCTTGTGGGAAATACTTTCAATATTGACTAAGGTTACAAAATGAAAAAAAATGCTTCAAAGTTGATGTAACATTTGGTATATTATGGTAGTTCAATATTCAGCATCAGCAAAGTAGGGAATATAAAAAAACAAAAACTGTTCATTTTATTTTAATCAAATTCAGCTCACAACATAAAGTAAAAAAATAATAAGCAAGTTGGAGAAAATTAGGTGAAAGTACACCTATACTTGTTCAACCACCTGAACATAAAACAAAACATAATATCATAAACATTACGATAAAAGTAAATAAAAAATATACAACCCCTTCTTCATCCTTTCTTGGATTGCAGCCTATGAAAATAAACTTCCTCAGGCCAATAATAATAATAATAATAATAATAATAATAATAATAATAATAATAATAATAATAATAATAGCAATTTTTATAGGGCAAACATCTCCTCCAAAATAGGTGCTCAAGGCACACTGTCTAAAAAAAAATGAACAACAGAAGGGAACAAACAAGAATCACGGACATCAAAGGTAAAATGTACCACAAGAATCATTATTTTATACCTTACCTTCTCATTTTACCATTAATTAAACCATTCTGTAATTCGTTCTCTTATCATTTCATTTTCCTTTCCAAATATTTCCTAGTCTTCTCTATCGTACATTTCTTTCCTTTACTTTCTTAGGTTTCCTTATCTTTTTCTTTGCTTTTCTTTATTATGATTCATTTTCTTTTTCTTTTCCTTTCCTTTCTTTAAATAATTAAAAAATGGTTGACAGTGTTTACTGAGGGAAAATTGGACGGTGTTCCTGGA